ATACATTGTTATTAACTATTGTCATCATGTTGTACACTAGATCTCTTGAACTTATTCCTCCCAACTGACATTTTGTGTCCTTTGACCAGTTTTTTAAATAGTGAAAACCCAAAACGTAACAAAAAAAATACGTTTAATGTAAGATGTGGGTAGTTTTAATACGTTTGAGATGGTGAGTGCTTAAGGCCTACAGAGGTCTTAAAATAGCCCTCCCTGCCTGTGTAAGGTCCCTTAGAGCAGAACTCATGAGACGATGACAGTTTTTCTGCTCGGGAAGAAAACTTACTCCCAGTTAGGGGGAACTGGGTGGAATTCTTCTCGGTGTCCAGCGTTGCCCGCTCCTGGAGCCCTGGGAACTGTTAGGGGCAGGAGGTGGGGATCGGATATAGTGGCTCTGACCCAGTGCGAGGGGATGCAGGTGCCCGGTTCACCCCGTTTGGAGGGGGTGACAAACACGGACAGGTAAGTGCAGAGCGTCCGAGACACTCAATCTCAGAGAGGCAGCACGGGCAGGGTCTCGGGGAAGACGGGATAGGAGATAGGAGTGGGAGTCCTTGAGATCTGGGAGTGAGTCCGGGCCGCTCCTCTCTGGGACCCAGGGGTCCTGCCCCGACCCCTCCTCCTCCCTCAGGACCCCAAGAGCTTGCGTCTCCCCCGGCTACTAGGTCCTGGTTTCTGAGCTTCGAATTTGTCAAATTCTCCCAAAGACTCTTTGAGGAGAGTACTATCTATAAACATATTTTTACACAAAGAAACAGGCTGATATATTTGAAAGACCGACAGACGGCTGCAGTCTGAAACTGGCAGCGGTGGGATTCGAACCTTCGTTTCACTCCAGAACCTAGCATCACCTCAACGTGCGGCGAGAGTGGCGTAGCGCCAGCAGGACTAGGCCCCGCCCCCACGACCATGGCCACGCCCCCGGCTCCCGAAACTACCATTCCCAGCTAAGACAGCGCTGGGGGCCCACCCCCATAGGTCCCTCCCCGGCAGCCCCGCCCCCTCACCCGAGCCCCGCCCCCTCGCCGCCCAGTTCCGGAAACCTCAGGCTCCGCGGCGCCTGCGCCTCCCCACGTGGCTGGCGGGCGGCCCCGGGGAGGCGGGTCTGCTGCCGGGTTCCGCTCGCTGCCGGGCATGAGCCGCTACGTGCTGCCGGTGTCCGTGCTGGGCACGGTTGTGGGTGGCGCGGTGCTGCTCAAGTGAGTACGCGGCGGGCTGCGGGCCGCGGGCGGGGAGCACAGGCCCGGGAGATTGACTCCCGCGCCGGCCCCGGAGGCCTGGGGCTGGCCGCACCGACCAGGCCCTCACGGGGTGCTGGGGCCGACAGCGCTCGGACAGGCGGATCACCTGCACAAGGTCACCCTGAGGGAGGGCGGGACTGGGCTTCTAGTTAATTTAGACTTCGAATTAATTTATTTATTCAGCAAATAGCTCTTCCCATGTGTTCCGCGCTGGCCTAGGTGCAAGGGAAATGTATGTCACCTAAACTCTCGTTATCCAATATTAAAGAAACAAGATTATACAGCTCAATAAACGAAAAGATCCTACTGCCTAGGAAATACAGTATGCGTATATCTTTCATGTCTTCCTCCCTATCGTTTTTCTTTCTCTTCTTCCTTTCCTGAGAAATTTGGGGTTATATTGAATATATGGAACAGCAACTACCATTTGTTCCGCACCTGGGGAAAAGGCCTTTCGGTGTCAACAAGGCTAGTGAGTGGGAATCCCAGGGCGGAACCCAAGCGTGTCTGACTTCAGAACCCATAGTCTTAACACCGCTCTGTGTACTTCGAATCCTGTTTTATTTCCACCTTTAATTTAGCATTAAAGGGTGCAAGTTCACACGTGTTCTTGCAGACTGTTGCTTCCGTTGTAGAGGGTCTCATCCTGGGGCTACATGATCATCCCTCCCTCCTTAGTGACTCTTTTGGTTGTTTGCTTTCTTTCTGCGCTTAGAAATGGCACTGAATGAATGTAACCCTTGGGTATATATGTCTGTTCCAGCACCTTTTGGATAAGTGTCTGTGAGTGGTCCAGAGGCATTGCCCACAGTTTCAGTTTGGACACCTGAGACTAAAAAAATCACTGTC